CCCCGCCTTCTAACTGAGAACGAGGTGGAACTTGGGGAAGACCCTGGGGCGTGGCCAAGGGGTTGAAGGGGCGGCTCCCGGATTAGCATTCCGAGCAGCCTGGGAGCAGCTAAAGTAGAGAACTGGGTCGCAGGGGGAAGCGGGGTTGGAGACGAGTGGGGGTGTGGTCGGCCTTGAAACGGACGTGGGCAGTACGCACCCTCCCGCCCCACGAAAGGGTGAGGCTTGAGGTACCCAAAAGAAGAGAGGCGGGGTCGTAGGCGCCTCTGCCCGTCGCTGGGAAGTGNGGGAAGTGGAGGAGCCCCCTGCCGAGCCGGAGCGACGCGCGTCTCGCTCAGACTCGCCGTCTGTGAGCTCAGGCACGGCCCGGGCGCTCGCCGAGCTTCCCGCCGACGCCAGCACTCCCGGGCTCTGCCGTGTGGGGCTGGGCCGAGCGCGCGTGCGGGCGCCGGGGAGTGGGAACGGCGACGCGAAAGCAGAGAACAGGCGCGGAAGGTCAGAGAAAGCAGCTTTATTAAGCGAGATGGAGGGGGGGTTGTTGGTGCCACCCACCCCGGGGCTTGGAAACAGAGCGAAAACTCCGAGGGTCCCTTTCAGGCCACGTCCACGCGAGCAAAGCTCTGGTCCATGCCCAGGCTGTTCTCCACGTACACCTCGTACCTGCCGCTGTCCTGGGGCGTGGCCCGGCGGATGGTCAGCGTGGTGTTGGTGCTGCCGACCTCGAAGTACACCCTGCGGGGGAGGGACGGGGAAGGGCGGGGCCGCGGTCAGTCCACGTGCCCCCCCGCCGGGCTACTCAGCCTGCTCCGTTCCTCGCCGCCCAGCTCCCCGCTCCCATCCCACTCCCGCGGGTGTTCTGGGCCCCATGCGGCCCCGGCCCCAGCGCCCGGCCCGGCCTCGGCAGCGGGTCCCAGCCCTCGCCTGTCGTCCTCCTCTATGTCCTTCCCGTCCTTGGTCCAGCCCACGTCGGGCGCAGGCTCGCCCATGATCTCCGCCGTCAGCGTCACCGTAGCGCCTTTGCGCGCCTTGGTGTTATCTGGTCCCTTTTGAATTTTCGCCGGGACTAGAGGAAGGGAAAGGGAATGCGACCCAGTGAGGGACCTACAGGTGAGGCGGGACATCACCTTCCCAGCTATTACCCTGCCCTAAGCCCGAGATGGATTTGAGCTCGCGGTGTGACCTTGGGCAAGTCTTTAGCCTCTCCGGGGCTTCAGCAACTCAGCTGTTAAAGGAGACGAATCCCTGCCCCTCCTACTCCTTAGGGTTGAATGGAGCATGAAAAGAGATACTATAGTGAAAGCCCAGGAATGTTCGCACACCTCGGGGTGCCTTGGAGACAGCTCTGAGTAGTGGAAATTGCCCTGGGTTGGGAGCCAGAAGACCAGGTTTCTCTCTAACTCTGGCTCGGCCACTGGATCGCTGTGACCTTGGGGCTCTGAAGTCGATTGAAACCCATACCCGACTTCTTAGCCTGGTGGGATGGGATCCCGAGGCAGAAAAGCACTACGCAGCGGGTGCGGCGCCGCGCCCTGCTCTGTGCCTCAGGCTGTGCCAGAGGCTGCGCCGGACCCATCTGCGTCCGGACTCGGCTGGGCCCGGGGATAAGAGCGCGGCCGAGGCCGGCTGCGGACGCCCGCGGGGTGGCGCTGCTCTGCGCCGTGGCGGTGCACCGGGCGCGTACCTTCCACGAGGATGCGCGCGGAGTCGGAGCACTGGCCCAACGGGTTGGTTACGCTGATGCTGTACTGGCCCAAGTCCGCCAGCTCGCCGTCGCGCACCACCAATGCGACGACGTCGGGGTCCTCGAAGATGTAGCGATACTTGGGCCCGTCGCGCAGCTCTTTGCCGTCCTTGCTCCAGCGGATGAATGGGTCCGGGAAAGCCGAAATGCGGCAAGTCAGCTTGGCCGCGCTGCCCTCCAGCAGCACCACGTCTTCCAGCGGCTCCAGCACTCGCGGAGGCCCCTTCTCTCGTAGCTCCTTTCGGGACCTACCCGCGGGCAGGGGCAGGGCCCAGAGCTCCCGTGACACGGTCCCCAGCCTCCCGCAGCCCTGTGCGCCCGCACACTGCCCCCTGCCCACCGCCTCGGCCGACTAGACCCTTAAGCCAGGAGAGGTGCGGGGGAGGGGGCCGCCCCCAAATAGTTACCCTAAAAAAATGATCTACTCTTGCCGGCCACCCTTCCACGCCTCAGTAACTGCTCTCCCCTAAGTCCGGTGACCTTAGCAGCCCGTGGCACTGGGCTCACCGCCCTTCCCCAGTGCAGGAATGCGGTTTCTGCAGCTCCAGTTCCCTTCCTTCAGAGGGCTCCGGGGCTCCCCCTCACCTGTGGCCCCGGCAAGAGGCCTGGATGCGAATAGCCGCTTTCTGGACCTGGGGGTCGTTGATGTCCAGGGAGCATCCGGCAGGCGGGGCCGTAGCCGCCGGTGTTTTGGCGGGAGCTGCTTTGGACATCTGGGCAGCGGAAAACAAACACGGGGGTCTAGGCTGACACAGAGGCTGCGACCTTCAGCCTGTGCCCTTCGGATTCAAAACATCCCCGGGATGCGAGGGTCCAGAGCCGGTCTGAGGATCGGGCCTCACCGTGGGGGTGTGGGGCTTCGACTTCGGGACTTGTCAGCTAGCTGGGAGCAGGCGGCACGGAGCCCTTCCGGATGGCACAGTGGGGGCACGGGCAGGTGCTCGGCCCCGGGCCCTGGTTTTATACGTCGCTCCCCTCCTTGCCTTGTTTGGCGTGGTTGCCCCAAGCCCCCCGGGACCCCAGCCCCCGCCCCCTGACCCAAGCAGGCTCCTTATTTAGCCCGAGGATGCCAGGGATGCTGGCTCAGCCTCTAGAACAGGCCCGGGGGGTGGGGTGGGGGGAAACTCGAGCGGCTCTGGGGTGCACCGCGCGTCAGCGCCTGGACAGCTGGACAGCTGGACGCGGCCCCATCTCCTCCCGAGGCAAGGGGTATCCATCCCGCTCCCAGGAGGCCCCGACGAGGCCCCAAGCCGACGGGGGATTCAGCCCTCTGCCGGGGCACCTGTACATTCAGTCAGTCCCTGGACAATGGGACAATGTGCCCTTCGCGAGGCACCGTAGGTTAAGGGGTGAAGGGGTGCGAGCGCTTGCGGGGGTTTCGCTGAATGAAGTCGGAGGAGCTGCGGTCCTAACTGTCCATCCAGCCAATTATGAGAGGGCCACGTGGCTGGCAGGACCAATGGGGAATCGCCTTACCTCCACCCCAGCGTCTACGGTTGTCATTTCTGCACTGTGCCCCCTGGCGGCAAACTGAGATAAACCTGGAGAGGACCGCAAAGATTTTTAAGAACAGCACCCCTTCCTGCCACCCCTATCGCCACTCACTCTCCTCCATGTGACATTGTAGGGTCTGGCTGGGCTGCACTGTCCCTGGAGATTGGCACTAGTACTGACTCAGCAACTTTAGGTTGGCCCAAGCCCATTATGGGGCAAAGCTGATGTATAGGGGCATCAGAGAACCTGGGGTGAAGGGGTTAGGTTAGTTGCTCTGGGACATGCCTGGAGTCCAGTCTGCCCAGGCCAGAGCACCAGGTAGTGTTACTTCCATTTCCTTTAGCTGCCCACCCAGGTATGGAGCACTGTCACCTTTTGATCAGAGCAATTTTGACACGGCTCTGCTGATATAAATTACCTTTGCTCCTCCGGGTTTGGACAAGCAGTTCACATGCCATTTCCAATGGAGATGGGAAGGGAGCTCAAGATCAGAAGGGGGACGGGAGAGGAATTTTACCATTTATCAAGATATGAGTTCAGGCACCTCATTTTTATATGAAAACACTTGCAGTGAGTAGGGGATTACAGATTCTCCCAGGCAAACTGTATATCTTCATCGCTAAAATGACAGGTGAGCAAGGCATCTCTCTGGTGCCTTCCAGCTGCTTTAACTGCTATTTTATGGTGATGGGGATTGCCTTTTCCCTAAGGTCCTGAGAAGGCAGAGAGACTGGGCTGGGCTGGGCTGAACGTTGTTTGGGCTCCAGCCAAGGGGCCCTCAGCCTAGATCAGCAACACACCAGTGCCAGCTCTTTCTGCTCGTGGTGGAGGCTTTATTCCTGTCAGTTTGTGAAGAACAGAGTTTTCAAGGGGTGAAGAGGGAGGACAGTCCCTTTGGACCCAAGGAGAACTGGCTCACCTCACTCCCCACCACAGGGGAAGGCAGCTCAGTTCTAGAACCAAGTAACCATTCTGTGGCACTGCAGCTAGAGTCAAGGTGCCTTCACCCCCAGCAGACTCCCTAGCTTGGTGGGGGATCAGAAGGTCCAGGCTGGGTGTCCCTGGGGCCTAGGAATGTGTTCTTCTGTGGCATCATCACAGCAGACATGCTGACTAGAGAACTCACAGCTGCCCTGTGCAGCTGATGCCCTGATTGGTGCTCTAACACTGAGAGCATGGGGTGTGGACCTGTCCCGGTCCCCTGTGCAGCTCTTCACACCACCTGCTGTCACCAGGCATCACGGAAAAATCCCCTCTGCTCCAGCAGTCAGGACCAGAGCTGGGAAGTATTGGGGAAAGAAGGCTGAGCCAGGATTCAGATGGGGACCAGTACATTTCAGAGCCTACCATCTTCCAAGGTATGGTGATGGAACATGTGAGAAGAGGTGGGGGCCACCACAGTCTGGTTAGAGGATGGTGATGGGGATTCAGTGGTCCTGCCAGGATTCCAGAAACTTCAGAGAGAGAAGCAGACTGAAGTCTCTTCTCCCTCTAGAAAGTAGGGGAAAGTAAGGGGGCAGGAGAGTCAGGGGGGGAGGAGGGAGGTCAGAAGGTGCTAGCTGGTGTACCTGGGCTCTCACTGGCCCAGAAAGGCTGGAATACTGTCCCAGCACCCTGCATCCTGCACCCCCGGCCATCTCCCCCCATAGATCACACATAGGTCCTGCTGCTTGCTATTTTTATTTTCCTTGTGACAGACAGACAGACAGCTGGATGGCTGGGGGGCGGGGATGGTCAGGACAACATGAGCAATTAGGATTGGATGAAAGGGAAACTTCATAAAAGTCAATAAATAAATAAATATGAATGGGAAGAAGGGCGAAGGCCACAGAGGACCAGTGGGGACATCCTTGGGCCAGCACAGAGCCCAGAGCCACATCCACTGGGACAACAGGAGCGCGCTGGCTTGCGTGACCACTGCCTCGTGACTCCAGCCCTCCACGATTCTTCTTCGGGATGCTGGCAGCTGGCCCACCCCATCCCCACCTGAGTACTCTCTCCTCTCCCTCCTCCACCTTGCTGCCCTCTCTCACATGCTGTATCTGGCACCCTGACACTGTCCCGTGTCCTGTCCCTGCTTTACTCCCAGCCCACAGCCTTGACACCCTGGGCTCCTTCCTTTTCCACCTTTCCAGCCCCTCACTCATACCTTCCTTGGTTGCTTTCCCCCCAGATGCACTGTCCCCCACCCCCAAAACCTTCCTAGAGTCTCCCATCCCTTTCTCTCACTTCCCCATTCTGTTCTTGCCCTTCTTCCTGCTCCCCACTCCACCCAGCCTGGCCAGTGAGTCTCCAGCTCTGGCTCTGGCCTGGTGGCACTGGCCGAAGCCCGGGGCCTCTGTCCCCTCAGGTCCATGAGGTAATAGCCCGGCCGGATGTTGCTGCTGGTGGTGTACGAAGCCCTGAGCCCATCCGGCTCAGCATGGGCCCTGGAATGTCCCGCAGCATCAGCGGGAGCCCCGAGTGGAAGCCTGGGGCCAGGCTGTGGTCCAAGCCACTAGGAGCTGCCTGGATAGGAGCGGAGCAGCACCTTGTGACGGGTGGCAGCCTCGGCCCTGCGACGCCGCTGCTCACCCAGGAACTCCTTGAGCCGGCTGGTGGTGAAGGTGAGTGTCTGGCGACGCAGCTTCATCAGGTAAGCGTCCTGCAGCCACGGGTGGGCCAGGCAGTCCTGCAGGGAGGGCCGGCTCCTGGCAGGCCCGGCCAAGGATAGTGAGCAGGCAGGGCTCTGCCCTCCCATATACCCAAGTCCCAATACTGGATTCACCCCTAGTGAGTGACTCTGGGCAGCTCTGGGGCTCAGTTTCCCAATTTCTGGAATGGGGACAGTGATTCTGCTTACATCATAGGGCTGTTATAGGTTTTAAAATGTGAGTAGAACCATTTAGTAGAAGGAGTAGCAACTGTGTATTATTGGGGGCAGGGGTGGAGTTGGGGGATCCTAGGCATGGGCTGGGCCAGGGCAGTCCAAGGCCAGGAACAGGTAATGCTGGGGGGTTGGCAGGTGTGGGGCCCACTCACCAGGGATGTACTGAGAGGACCTTTCGCAAGAAGAGGGTGGCGCTTTGGGAGGTGTTGGGGTACAACTGGAAGGCATCAAAGCGGCCCCCCACAATACGAGCCTCTGTTTCCTGGGGGTCTGGCTCATAGAATGGAGAGCGTCCACTGAGCCTGTGGTGGAGATAGTTCAGTTAACACATGAATGAAGGGTCAACTCACAGGTCCAGGGGGACATTAGTGTGGGGGTTCTAAGGGGCACAGCACTCAGGGAGAGCTATTGGCACCTGGGTACACATGTGTGTGTGCATGCATGCACATGTGCACACTCACATGTGCTGGGGAGGAGGAGAGGGTGTAGGCAGGAAGTGAGTCCTGGGGGTACTCACATGATGTAAGTGAGCACACCTACTCCCCAGATGTCTGTGGCGGAGCCGATGGGGTCTCCCTTCACCATCTCAGGAGCTGACAGGAGACAGAGGCCAAGTTGAAACAGTTTCCTGGTGGCAGGGAAGCAGGAAAATGCTGGGGAGGCCCCTGAGGGCTTGAGGAGCAGGACAATGTCCAGGTCACCAGACCATGGGTCTGACCAGGGCAGCAGGCCCTGGATGACAGCAGGCAGGATGGAAGTGGGGGTGGCCTGCAGGGGAGATGTGGGGCACCTGAGAAATCAGCCCAGGCTCTGAATGGTGGGGGGTCACCAGAACTGCAGAGCTGCTGAGAACCAGGGTCACTGGCTCCCTCAGGTCAGCTCTAAGGTAGGGTGCCCATTCACGATGAATGTAGCCAGCACAAAGATGAAGAGCCTTAGAAATCGGCCTGGCTGGCTCCAATCCCAGGCCTGTCCCTTCCAGCCACAGGACCCTGGGCAATGTACTAAACCTGTCTGGCTCTCTAATCTCCTCATTTGTAAAGTGTAGCTTTCAGAATAACTCTAAAGGATGGACATAATGAACATAAAGTATTTAGCAGGTAGCTAAATGGTAGCTGGTTTTCCTTGTTTATACAAATTAATAATTGGTTCCTTATCTCTCCAGCTTTATCAAATCCTGGCTCGACCATTTAAAACTGTCTTATGTGGGACAAATAATCTACTTCACCTGTTTCCTTGTCTGTAAAATGGGGGTAATGTTATGCCAATCTCCAAGGCTACTATGAAGATAAATTTAAAAAAACCCAAGGAAAGGACTTTGTTCATTGCCTGCATACAGTAAGCACTCAATAAATGGCACATATGTGGGTGAAGTGGGGGGACTTATGGCTGCTGCCCCTTTGGCAGTACCCCCAATCCCCTGCCCTGGCTGGCATGGTGCCCTCACCCATGAACTCCAGCGTGCCCGTGCGGTGGCCAAGGGGCTGCAGGGCCTGGGGGTTGTAGGGCTGGGCACTGCCGAAGTCCACGATCTTGAGGGCGTTGTCAGGGGCCAGCAGCAGGTTGTCTGGCTTGATGTCCAGGTGCAGCACGTGATGGCCGTGGAGGTAGTCCAGGCCTTGTAGCAGCTGCACCACATAGGTGGCCACGTCATCCTCTGAATATCGGAACCTGGAGGGCCCAGGGAAAGCAGGTGACATCCCATGCCAGCTCCCCTTACTCTCACTCCCGGCTCCCCTAGAATGCCCAGCTACCTGTCGCTGAGCCCACATAGGAGCTCCCGGTTGCCGCAGCTCTCAGCGATGAGCACGAGGTAACGTGGGGTGATGTAGGCCTCGTGCAGGGACATGAGCCGCTCGTGGTGCAGCGTCCGCAGCACTTCATACTCCTGCAGGACTCGCCGCTTGCCCTCAGCTGCATAGGGCACAATCTTGGCCACAAACGTTCTCCCGGTAGCATTCTCCCGGCACGCGCGCACTACACCAAAGCGGCCCCTATGTGTTGAGGGGACACCACAGGCTTAGAGAGGGGGGCACCACCATTGTGAAGGCTAAGGGGGCTGGGGTGGGGGGAGCAGGGACCCAAGTGTGAGCTCTGGAGTTTAATCTTAGAAATCTGGGTTTGAATCCCAGTTCTGCCCTTCAGTGGCTCTGTACCATAGGCCAATCCCATACGCTCTCTAAGCTGTTTTC